GCATTCTTGGGGGTGATAACGTCCTACGTTGATCAAGGAGAGATGTGACATTGCTGCAAGGTTGCTTTCAACAATTTGCTGTGGGGGGATATGAATACATCAGCAGCACTTTAAAAAGAAATTGATAATATTACTCGGGAACCTACAAACTTTGCCTGGTAGCCAATATTTTTTTCTAGTCAGCAGCAAGGCTGACAATGTATGTTCAGAGGAACCCACCATTAGGCAGAGTGAGGTGACTGCCTCTGTCAGTGGATGCTGGAGGCAGCGGGGAGGGGCAAGTCATTAATATTATCAGTATGAATGTACCAAACCAATTTTCTCCTCCCTTTGCCTATTCCTCTGATGAGAACAGGGAAGGGGGTGACATAGCCAGACCAAAGGAACTTTCTGTGGCGGTTGGGTGGCAGTTGCCACTACTGATGTCTCTTACTATTCCTTTGATGAGTTATGAAGAAGCAAGAAGTTGTATACAGTGGTACCTCGGGTTATATACGCTTCAGGTTACGGACTCCGCTAACCCAGAAATAGTACCTCGGGTTAAGAGCTTTGCTTCAGGATGAGAACAGAAATTGTGCGGCAGCGGGAGATCCCATTAGCTAAAGTGGTGCTTCAGGTTAAGAACAGTTTCAGGTTAAGAATGGACCTCCGGAACGAATTAAGTACTTAACCCGAGGTACCATTGTATATTGATATAGATTAGTGGTAGCTGCTACTAGGAAAATCCAGGCAGAGTGTCAGTATAGAGGACTTGGGAAAGGTGGCGTACCTATTACAGTGGTACCTTGGGTTAAGAACTTAATTCGTTCTGGAGGTCTGTTCTTAACCTGAAACTGTTCTTAACCTGAAGCACCACCTTAGCTAATGGGGCCTCCCACTGCTGCCGCGCCGTGGTTGCACGATTTCTGTTCTCATCCTGAAGCAAAGTTCTTAACCTGAGGTACTATTTCTGGGTTAACGGAGTCTGTAACCTGACGTGTCTGTAACTTGAAGTGTCTGTAACCCGAGGTACCACTGTATTAGCAGGATATGGGGTGAAGAGGAAAAAATGGCTTGTGGCAGCAGGGCTTTAAAGAGAAGCCTTATGTATTTGTGTGTTTTGTTACAAGCTGCCTTATTAATGCCCACATGCTAAATACTGGGATAGGAAACTGGAAGTTGCTCATGTGAGCATCTTGTATTGTGTACATGTAATTAAATGTTGAATGTGCATTAACAGAAGATATCCTATCCTGTTCAAAAAGAGGGAATTCCATGAGCCCCATAGCACAAAATCAGTTTTTGAAAATTGAGGTTAACAGTTTTTTGTGGGGGTGCAAGTCTTTAGCCTTGTCTAGGGCACAAAATAGTCTGGCACCAACACTAAGGACAGGCAATGCTTGTATACAATGTGGTTCAACTAGATTCTGCTCTTAAAAGAAAAAAGAAAAATGCCTGATAGCAAAGTCTTGAAAACAGAGCAAGAAATCAAGGTGGAGGCAAATGCCATTCAAATGTTTCCAGTAGCCAGATCAGTCATAGACCATTATTTGAGCCAAGTTTGACTTTGCGAAAACCGAAGAAAATCCAGATGTCGTTACAAATTCACATTTCAGTTTTCTAGTACCCATCAGCAATTTTTTTGAAATGGATCTAGTAATCTGTCTGCTTGCCGCTTGATTGGTTGCATCCATGCAATTTATCAATGTTTTCCTCTCTGCCTTGACCAGCAAAATATGTAGGTTGCTGACAGTTGATAGTTAAGAAAAGTACTTTCCAGATTTCCCGAATCAGCATATTTGATATATGCGCAATTGCAAACTACTGTAATACACTACTTTGCCAGCACAACGACCTCAGGTTTTACAGACACCTCCTGTACTTGTGGGACTCTGTATTTATTTTAGTGGAAGGGAACCATCATGCACACACATGGCAATCCAAAACCGATGGCTGGTAAATAGGAATTCTCAAAGCAGAATAACTCAGTAGTCGAATACGGTCATCAGATGCAAGTGACTGCATGTTAGTGGCAAGGAAGGGAGGTGAAGGTGGTAAGTTAGACTTTGAAAGCTAATGCCCTGTTATCCCAAATAAACAAAACATAATGTTATTTTGACCTTCAGCATTTTCCACATAATCTATAAGTACCCACACTGTCTACTATATGCTGGTGAGGCACTGATATATTCTTCCAATGTTTCTCAAAGCCTTTTTATTTTATTTTTTAAAAAATCTATTATCTTCTAAACACAGACTGCAGAAATTGATTCCACTCGTTTCCAGCTTTCTTTACAATACATAACAAATTTGACATAGACTTACTGGTTTTGTTTAAGATCAATAAAAATGTAGATTATGATGAATTTTAATGCACTACTGGCTTTTAAAATCTTTTTGAAGCTTCCCTATTAGTGTTTTGTAAAATATTGCGGTATGTCTGGCTGTAAATACATTTGATCCAAATATACTGGAGTTAAGGAAGGAGAAGGAGTTGTCAAATCTACTTTTACTTTTGATAAAAGGTGCTTTTCAAAAATACTCAGCATATTTAGATAGTCAGATTTATGAGACAAGTGCCATAGAAAACGAGGAAATCCTTAGTAGGTCACATAAATACATTACATATTGTGTGCTCTTAAGCTGTATTTACACATATTTGGTTAATGCATTTCTGGTGGTTATTATTTATTGATATATTGTTTATCGCTGTACTTTAGCACCAAATTCCCACTAGTGCCAAGCTGAACTGGCAGAATTCTCAACAGCAGATGTGGCAATTATGGGCAGAAAAAGTGAGGTTGAAGTCTGGTCAATACGAGTTTTAGGGAGCATAGCATCCTAAGCTGAGCTCCCAGGGGAGGGCAGTTGAAGAGCCACAGGGGGCTATGGACCACCCTCTCTGCTGCCCCATCTTCCATGAGCTGGCAGAGTTTAGAAAGTGACGGTTTCTCCATTCATCCCAGGATCTCCCTCTGCCAGGACTATGCAAAGCCAGCAAATGTTGGTTCATAACTTGCGGAGAGAGGGAATTAGGTAGCAAAATGTGGTCTGGCTGAATGCAGCTTGTGTTTCCCTTCAGGTCTCATGGTCATAAGAGTTGCCTTGCTTGAGCAAACCAAGACCTGGCTCAACTTTCTCCTTCTGACAATAGCTAACCCATCAAGTAGTCACGTGATTGCTTTCTGAGTAGAGCGAGTTTAATATGTTCCCGAGTAGTAACGGAGCAGCTGCAGGTTAACAGTGGTACCTCGGGTTAAGTACTTAATTCGTTCCGGAGGTCCATTCTTAACCTGAAACTGTTCTTAACCTAAAGCACCACTTTAGCTAATGGGGCCTCCTGCTGCTGCTGCACCACCGGAGCACGATTTCTGTTCTCATCCTGAAGCAAAGTTCTTAACCCGAGGTACTATTTCTAGGTTAGCGGAGTCTGTAACCTGAAGCGTCTGTAACCTGAAGCGTCTGTAACCCAAGGTACCACTGTACTCTTAAATGCACTAAATTCGTGGATTAAATTCTATAGGACATTATGGGTAGCCCACAGTGCTGATTTCAATACCCAACAATACTAATATTGTTTAAAGTGAATGCAAAAAAGTAAGGACACCGTTTTTTAAATTCCAAAGAACCACGAGAGCCCTATTGAATTCATGTATTTTTTAAAGAAAGAAAATGTAGTTTATTAGCAGTCGTTCCGGTCACGTGTATAAGGCAAGCAGATGGATATGGGGAGGGGGATTTTGCTTCATAGGAATTCCACCTGAAAGTACAGCAAAATCCTGCTTCATCAGCTATGCAGGCATTTAAACTGAGCTGTCAACCACATTTCTAATCTATGAATTTGTTTCATTAAAGTATCTGGTACAATTAATCATTTTGATGGGCAATATGTGGCAACAAAGAGTAGCTTTTTCAGACATTGAGATTCTTTTATTATTCCAGCAGCTGTACCTCTATGGAATAAGAGTGCTTTGCTGCTGAGTCTGTCTTTGGATGGCGGTTCTGTCTTTACATATAGCCATTTTATAGTTTTGACTACATCCCACCATCACAATATATGCAGATAATATGCTAATTTATCTTTATGGCAGCTCTCAAGGGTCATTACCAAGGCGTAGTAAAATATACTGAGGACATTAATAATGATCGTAATAAAACTGGCTTTGGAAAGCATTAAGAACAACATAATGATGCTTGCAGAGCTGCAAATATCTTGGTGAAAGGATGAATGTGCATTAAATGGACTTTCATTTTGGTAGCATTCATTTTGATTCAGATGAGTGTATAAAACAAGTTAATTTACCATTTGCCAAGAACCGGTTAAAGATTTAATCATGGAAAGTGCATTTACTTTGAATGTGTTATTACTGCCAAACTTGCACCTTTGCAAATTGGATTGCTTTTTGCTGGAAGGTGCTTGCAGATTAAGAAATGGAAGGGCTACTGACCCAGCTGCTATGAGATCTGATTACTAGAGTTTAAAAGCAGGGGGTGGATTTGTATATAGAAATTGGTATTTAAAAAAGATGCATATTTATTTATTTTAAAAAACACAAGTCAGAAGATACTGAGCCAAATTCATCAGCAACATGCTTGAACGCTGTATATTCTATGGATGGAATAGTTCTCCATAAGATTTGAGTCTCAATTTCAACCTCCTAGAGGCAGGTTGTTGTTGTTGTTGTATTTCTATACTACCCTTCACCCAAAGATCACAGATTGGTTCACAATATAAAAATAACAAAGAAGATCAATAACCCTCCCTAAGACTTGTGGCTGGGCCCAAGAAGAAAAGCACAACCAACAATGTTTTCAGTGAGCCTGGAAGCCTCTGTATAGGGCACCATGTAGCTGAGCACACATGCTTCCTTCCTTTCATTCATTCATTATTAAATTTCTATACCACCCTTCATCCAAAGATCACAGGGCGGTTCACAAAGCAACAATATAAAATGAGAATACAAAAAACATAATAAAACAAAAACCAACAACCCCACAGACATGTTGTTTTTGCTTTATTTATGCTTACGCACCAACAAGATACACAAAAAGAAATAGACATCATCCCTAAAAGGCCTAATTTTTTTCATTGTTTCTGGTTTCTTCCTCGCACGGTAAGGGTAAGTCAGCAGTCAGCCTTTTGTCCCCACCATTTTCATCTCTCTTCAATCCTTTCTCCCTCCTTCCTCGTTGTGCTGGTCCCATGGGTTACCTGAGAGGCAAGGTCCAAGTCCGGTCCATAGTCAAAGGTGCAACGTGGAGGCAGTCCATGGAAGTTGAAGCTGGGTGCAGGGCAGGGAGTCGGGTGAAATCAGGAACAGGCTTGCAAGCAAGGAGCCATGGCGGGTCAGAAGCTCAGGCAGGAAAGCAGGACAGGGTTCAGGCAGGAACTAGCAACCAACAGTGTTGCTCCCGCAACTTGGGACTGGGGCTGGCCGGCTTTTATCTGCCCCAAGGTATAGGGCGGCCACGATCCTCTGGTGACTCACCTCTCCTGGCTTGGAGGCGAGCACTCCTCCTGCGGGAACTTAGTTCCCTCCTCCTCTCTGCCCTGAGCCTCTGCAGCTCAGGAGAGGCTGGAGAGTTACCTCGATCTCATTGCCCTCGTTCTTCCCTTACTCCCTTTTAACTCTTCCAAAGCGGAGCGCCTTCCTGTCACACCTGATGCTCATTCCAGATCTTCTACAATTAGGTCCTCTTCTTCGGGTGCTGGCCTAATACGGGCCCAGTGTCGGGCTATTGCCTTCTCAAGCTCTGGAAAACCTTTGAAGAGCTTTGTCACAACTGGTGCCACAGGAGGCTGCTCCTTGTGCTGGAGCGGGGCCACCTTGTTGCTCTTTTTGAGCTGCATTGCGCTTCTCAGTCATCTGAGCCACTCTGTTCCGTGAAGGAGAAGTCCGCTGAACCTTCCTTCTTCTTCCTGAAGGTCTGGAACTGACCGCATGATTGATGCTGGCTCCGCCTCCTCTTTAAGCAGTCAAAATCAGAAGAAAATCCAAATCCTCTGCTTTCTCTCTTACCGCACCTACACACCTCTCTCTGTCTCTCCTCACTAACCCACAATGGACACCTGTAGTTGGTGGCTTTTAAGGGAAAAGCAGGAGATGTCACAAAGGAGGGTAGGCCATTGTTACCATGGCAACCCACCCACCTTCCTGCTAATATGTTAGACAAAGTTACAGAATGGAGTGTAGATCTATCAGCACAGGAGCAGCCAATCAAAGTTACTGGAGGATGGTCACATGAGCATTTTAGATAAGGCAGAGACTCCATCACCCCCTGCCAACATGCCTAGTGGTCAGGGATGGTGGGAATTGTAGTCCAGCAATATCTGGAGGCCTGCAGGTTCCACTCCCTTGCTGCGCAGGTTAGGCCACTTGCCAGTTTTCCAAACACCAAGCCAAAATCAGACTAATTTTCACAGCCTTTTCTTTTTGAATGCGTGTCTGTAATATTAACCAAGTGAAATGTTAGTCCGCGGCCCAGTTCTGAGGAATGTGACCCACAGGCTTGGAAGCTAGTGTAGCAGCTTCTTGATTGATTGATTGATTGATTGATTGAATTTATATACTGCCCTATACATGGAAGTCTCAGGACAGTTCACACAACAAAATCAAAATATAAAACCACAAAATATATAATCAAAATAAAAACCCACCCAGAAATCTGCTTCTGGTTCTTAGTAATACCTGTACTTTTGATATGATTTTAAATGAGGGTGGGCAACTTTCTGGCTTGTTGGATCTGGGATATAGAGATCTATCTTTCTATCAACTATAAGTACAACTAGTATATAGGATTGCAGCCAGTATACATACTGGGGAAGAATACAAACCAGGCAGCCAGAAACATAATGAACTTAAACAAGAGGAAGCAAAAGAAGCTCAAGGATACTAATCAAACCTCCCATTTTTTTTAAAAGATATTTATTAAAATTTTCAAGATATTACAAAATGAAAAAAGAAAAAAGAAAAATACAAAATAAAAATAGTTAAAAACAACTCAATCTTTCCATTACTTATTTTTCATTAGCCTGTTTCCCGGACCTCCTCGTGCCTCCCTTTTTTGTATTCCAGTTCAGTTTGTTAGTTCAGCAAATCCTTCCCCTCTTTGTTTATCCTAGTCTTTAATCTTAAAATATTGTAACATTAATTTTTTACCTATTCGTAATCCATTTTTCATATTCCCTTATAGTTACAGCTAAAAACCACTTAATTTCTATCCAACATCATTCTAACATTCATTAATTTTACAATATTTCTGTAAATAGTCTTTAACAAACCTCCCATTTTTGAACACCAGTTTGTCCTTCCTTGCCAACCATCCTAACCAGGCAAGGTATCCTGGGGAAAAGGTTGGCCTTACAAGTTTTTCTTTGACTCGGAGTAATTATGCTTAGGCAGTGATGACATGGAGACGTTCTGCTGATGAAACTTCATTTAATTTTATACTGACTGCCCTTGTAATGTTTTGTTCTAGATACAACCCTATTTTTCCCATCGTTCACCGTGAATTCATATTTGGAACTACCTTCTGTAACATCTCTGTCTAAGGACAGACATGCATCAGGACCACAGTGGAACCGAATGATGATCCACTTGACAGTGAAGACTACTGCGTTGAATGGCACCCTCCTTTACAGTGAGTAGCCTAGGGTTTTGTTTTTGCTTTTGTTGCACAAATTGCTTCATAATTATTATTTCATTTCACTCTCACAGCAACCCTGAGCAACTTTATTGAACAGGGGAGAATGAGCATGACTTAAACGAATCACTGTTTTATCTCTGTTACATATATTTAAGCACTTTTTTAAAAAGTTGATTATAAAGAGAACAGTACATTAAAAAGAGAAGACAAATCCTTCCAGGTAGGTTAGGCTGATACTTTGACACTTTGGGTGATGTAATTATGTGAGCAGAACAACTTCCACTCATGCACCTGTACTTTTCTCCTGTATGCCCCCTGCTTTCTCCCTAGATCAGGGGTCAGCAAACCTTTTCAGCAGGGGGCCAGTCCACTGTCCCTCAGAACTTGTGGGGGGCCGGACTATATTTTGAAAAAGAAAACGAACGAATTCCTATGCCCCTCAAATAACCCAGAGATGCATTTTAAACAAAAGGACACATTCTACTCATGTAAAAACACACTGAATACCGGACCGTCCGCGGGCCAGATTTAGAAGGCGATTGGGCCGGATCTGACCCCCGGGCCTTAGTTTGCCTACCCATGCCCCAGATCTTTCTCATAAAGTTGGGGAAATCCCTAGAATCGATTTAAGGAACACATGCGGTAAGGGGAGGAGAATGTTCCATTATGCAAGGAAAAATCCTTGTGCTGACTGGCATTTACCTTAGAACTGCATTGAATACAACCCTTAATGCTGATGTATGATTTGGCATTAAAGGGATGAGTCTTGGGCTGCTACACTCCTCCTCCTTCCTTTCCTCACATGCTCTGTTTTCCTCCTGCCTTTCCTGCTTTGTGCCCCAACGTAGCTAGTCATTGCATTCAAACCAGACAAGTTATGAGAAGGAGAAATCAGTGAAAAACACTTCTTTCTGTGTGCCCCACTCCCATCTCTCTGCAAGTGGGAGAATCCTGTGACTGGATTCTGCTCTCAAAAACTCTGAATCCAAGTCTCTCTCTTTTTTTCCAAATTCTAGTTAAAAGGCAAAGAACTCTAGTTAGAGTGAAAACATCAACTTAACATTTGGGTCACTTGATTATATATGAATGAAATGTAACGTCTGCAACTGTGTAAATGAAATATAGCATATATAAACAAAAAGAGGTGATGAGATACTAGATGTAAAGAAACAGGAAGTCTAGAAAGAAAAACAAAGGAAGTTTGGAAAGCATTTCCCCCTACCCTGCATGCTTGGATTGCTACATTCCTCTCCTAATTAGGATGAGAGGAAAAATTGATTCAGTATGCATTCAAAGCCCAATCTATCAAATTTACACTTTCTAAAACAGTATAGAGCTATACTTCAGAATTTGCCCTTACCTGAAAACTTGTGATGCAGTTCTCCAACCAATGTTTACAAAAATGCATATATTAGGAGAAAGTGTGTGTTCAAAGACTTTGATGAAAATAGCATGCAAAAATTCATTCTGTCAAGATAGAATTGCTTGCAGAAATGTGTGCCTTAGTCAAAACTGCGTGTAGAATTGTGTTTATTAGAAGGAATTCACACTAGATTGATTTTTGTGAGCATTTTTTAAAAAAGCACAAAATGTAGAGAACTGAATTTAAGATTAGAAAAATGAGAAACTGAGAGCATTGAAACAGACAGGCCGTTCCATCCCTATTCCTGACATTTGACAGCATCACAACTTAAAATCAGCTTGCCCGTGTTCATAAGTAACAACAAAAATGTGCAGTTTAAAATTTTGTATTTACTACCTGCCTTTGGCCAGTCACTAACTCTCAGCTTGACCTACCTCATATGGTTGTTGGGAAGATATACAAGGAGGTGTAAAATAGCTGCAAAATGGGGACTCCCAGGTAAATAGGGTTATGCACACATTCTACTCACGTAAAAACACCAGGCAGGCCCCACAAATAACCCAGAAATGCATTTTAAATAAAAGCACACATTCTACTCATGTAAAAACACACTGGTTCCTGGACCATCCGCGGGCTGGATTTAGAAGGCGATTGGGCCTGGTTGAGGTTGTGTCCACTATAAATAGATTGGGCAGAAAAGCTTTTATGGTACTGTCATTCTGTGATTTGATCACTACATTCTCTGAAATGATCTAATTCCATGCAGGAGCAGCCATTCATGCCTGCTGAAAAATTACAGTGCCCAGATCAAGGGGGGGGGGCACTCTGTGAGGCACAAGAAGCTACCACTTGAAGGAGAAAATGTGTGGGCACTTTCTGCTTGTGCAGGGGGAAGATCTGGATTGCACCCCATAAAGCTCTCTTTTAATTTAGGATTTGCTTCAAATGAAATAATATTGTTTGTCCTCGAATATTTGTTCTGGACTGGGACAAATATATATATTCTTCTAGCTATAAGGGGAGTGGGGAAAAATAGTCACAAATGGATACAACAGTGGTTTTGAAATGTGAGTAGACAGCTTAAATTCTATATAATTTCAAAATAGGAGAGTGAACGGTGGTATATATAAATATTTTAAATAAATAAAATAGTGCCAGGCCAGCAAAGAGTAAAACAGGGGAAACCTCATCATTTAATTTTGTGCCATTTCCCTCCTGGGATATAATAACTCCAGCTGGAGAAGACAGGCAACCCACCTAAAATAATTTTTCTTCCATTGGTTTCTTGATTATAAAAAGAGCAAAGAGTCTTATAGCACCTTAAAGATGAACAGGTATGCTGTAGTGTAGTAGAAGCTTTTTGCTTCTTTTGATGCAGTCTTGCAAGACTTTGTTTTTGCCATGGCAGACTAACATGGCTAGAAGTTGTTGGCTGTAGATTGCGCACATTCATGAGATATAAAGAAACATCAGGAATTAACAGTGGGGATGGATTCTAAATTGCTGCATTGGAAGGCAGTACAGTACCACAAACTGCAGTGCCTTGAGTACAGTGACTTCCTTTGTTATTTCACTCCACTGTGCCATATGCCTCTGGACTAGTGGGCCATCTCCCCATGGAGCCTTGACTCTCATGTGCATTGCTATCTTGTATCCAGCTGTTCCCTGTGGAGCTATCAGCCTGCATCCCCTAGGCAAAGCCATAACAGCTGTCGGCTCTGCAGGGATCCTGCATTTCTCAGGACGACTCCACAGCACCAGTAGAGTACTAAAAAAAAAGCACAGTAGAGCCAGATGATGATTTCACAAACTGCTAAAGATTACACAAGGTGGTTCCTGAGTTTTTTCAGCAAACGCTTCCTTACAGGAGAAACATTCACGTGACACTCTCCCATTATGCACTTCGTCATGAGAATTATTGCGGGGACCATTGTGTAATTTAGAAAGCAGGTAATGTGGGAGAGTCTTCCTTGCAAATGTTCACTTGGAAATAGGTGCTGCAAAAATCAGTGGGGCTTACACCAAAACACGAGCATAGGATTTCAGCCTAA